GGTACGTACTGATAGGAAGTATTGATAGGGGTATATACATTATAACAGACATATATACNGTACGTACTGATAGGAGGTATGGGTATGAGTATATACATTATAACAGACACATATACGTTATCAGGTACGTACTATACATTATAACAGACACATATACGTTATCAGGTACGTACTATACATTATAATAGACATATATACAATGACTGGCAAACCTTGTATAATACCATTTCATCAGAATGTTTTTCTTCTATTTGCTATATATCTATCCTAGTTGATTTATCGATCGAATTCTGTCGTTTGTGTTTTGAGTACTTAGATTGATTGATTTACACATGTAATTTAAAATCCATCTTGATGAACAATAACACCCAGCAGCTTGCTATTGTGAATTGCTGTTAGAGGCCCAATGGAGGGTATCTTCAGATCTCTGACTGGTGAATATTGTTGTCATGAAGGTGTTTATAATAAGTGCGAGGACTCTCAATATACATGTATGTTTTACAGCTGATTAAAATTGTACAATGCATGTGAAAAAAGTCGCGAGTCCACGTGGCCATTGGCCTCTTGTTTGAACTTAAGTTTGTACGTCATGGGAGGAACATTATGTGTCGTAATTCCAACCCCGCGTTCTTCGAGATTTGATTGCTTGTAGTATCTGCCTCGCTATTTGCGGCGTATGTACTGTAGTCTAGTAAAATACATCAGACGACAGAACGTGTCACTGTTGTGAATATCGTCACCTGTAGTTTAATTTATTTATTTTTAAAACTTCTAAATAATAAAAATAATAAACAATAAGACAAAGTTACAATAATAAAAATTAATGATAAACAGTAAATCTTGCATTTATTTCACGACGAGTTCATGCAATTGCTTAATTACTGAAAAATCGGGATTTGGAATATTTTAAACCTAGTCCCATGGGAAAAACAGCGGTTCATAATAATATTAACAGCTTTTGTTTGGGTCACATGTGCTACTATCTACCAATCACAGAACCTGTAATAAAGCACAAAATCAAATTTGGAATTAAAAGATATTTTCCGCACCATAAACTATTTGTTTGCGCTCTTAGCTTAGACATTTGGGCTGGCTGGGTTTACCACGAAGCCGAACTTGCCCCGGTCTCCCAAACTAAAGTTAAGTATTTGAAATTGGGTAAATGGATTATCCCGAATTTGGAATCGAACTAGATTCTCTGACGTGGCACACCATCGGAGTCCTTAAATATCACCAACCGCCTGGGACAAGAGGCAACTATAGTATTTATGTATTAAACTTAGTCAGTCCATTTTGTCAGTAATACAATAAAAAGGTCGGTGAAACTTTTTATGTTGACGTAGTGCTATAAACTACCAAGAGGATTTACCCCAGTTTGTTACTTTTCCCGAGCTAAGTCAAACATGCGTGTTTAACGCTTTTATAACGCTACGTTCATGTAGTCCGAAGTAACCATATCTTTAGGGCTTTTCACGTTTTGTGTAAAGACCTATTGCTTTTGTTGTTTCTTCTTATTATTATTCTTATTCTTCTGCCATGATTTTGTATGCAGCTAATGTTTTGATTAGTAGCAGATGTGTTAATTGTCTTTCAAGGATATTGTAGGCCAAGGTCTGCATGCAATTTTTCAAGTAGGTCAAAATTCCAGTATGACTTCATAGGTCAAACTCTAAAAATGGCCATAACTCAAAAACCATTGATTATACAATCAATGGTTTTTGAGTTATGGCCATTTTTAGAGTTTGACCTATGACGTCATGGCGGCCATATTGGAATTTTGACGTACTTTAAAAAATTGCATGCAATTATATCATTTGTAGACATTCTTCGAGGCTAACCTTTTCTTATACATTTTAATACAAAAAAGGTAAAATAAAATTCCTCGCTGTTTGGTCAAAGGTCAACAATTCTTCAACTTTTTCATTTTTCATTTTTTTTTTTTGTAATGTACCGGTTTTCGGTAGGGGTCAAAGTTCAAATACACCATATTGTGAAACAAACTTTAAAAAAATCCTCCTAAGTACTTCAAGATCTAGAGTCTTCATATTTGATATTTAAGATGCTGAGATGTAAAGCTATCAGATTTAATAAAATGGTTGACCTTGATCAACATTCAAGGTCACAGAGGTAAAATGTTAAAAAACGGTAAAATTTCTTTAAACCAAAATATTTCAAACATTTGTTGAGGTATTTACATGATATTTTACTATGGTGTGGAGGGTGTAAATTCGCATACTTTTCTCAGGAAACATTTTTGTCTCAGTGGTCAACTTCCGGTTTTTGGTGGAGGTCAAAGTTCAAAAGTGCTTTTTTGGGTAACAACCTCTAAAACGTTTCTTCTCAAGTTCAACGAGGTCTAGATTCTTGATATTCAATCTGTTAGTTGCTAAGATATTTGGCTATCAGGTATCATATATTTAAAATATCTCAAATCTCTTTACACCACGACATTTCGAAAATTGTTTCAGTCATAATTATTATATTTTAGTACGGTATGGAGGGCATGAAACTGCATATTTTTCTCAGAAATAATTTGTGTCTCACAGGTCAACTTCCGGTTTTTGGTAGGGGTCACGAGGTCACGGGGTGCTTAGATATTTGCCTATCAGGTTTGATAAAATAGTTGACTTGCTAAACTTCCAAGGTCAAAGAGGTCAAATATTTAAAAAAAATAAGTAGAAAATTCATGAAACCAAAATATTTCGAAAATTGTTTCAGACATTTATACTATATTATGGTATGATGTAGAGGACGCAAATGCTCATTTTCTTAGGAAATATTTTTGTGTCAAAGGTCAACTTTCGGTTTTCGATAGGGGTTAAATTTCGAATGTGCTATTTCAAGGTAACACCTTTGAAAAACTTCTTTGAAATTTCTACAAGGTCTAGTGTATAGATATTTGAACTTTAACATCCCAAGATGACTGGCTATCAAGTTTTAAAAATGGTTCACCTTTATCTACTATCAAGGTCACAAGGGTCAAACATTTCAAAACACTTAAACAACCACACCAAAATAAGGAAGAGGCCTAGGTACATGATATTTGGCAAGGAGCATTCATAAATGCAGGACTTAATGCGATTTCAATGAATGACCTTGACAAACGTCGAATGAAATTTTTATCTCGAATTTTTTAATTGTGTATGAGGACTTTCAGTACTTTTATTTATATTAAACAAAAAACAAAGCCTACTTTCAGTACTATGGTTTATATTATCGTTTTCATTACAGAGGGAAAAGACAGTGAGGTTGAAAAATAGGTTTGGGATGAGAGGGCCAACCAGTCCTAAGCTCGTCAAATTGTTAGCCAACAATTTCTAGTTTTATTTATTTTTGGCGTTTATTTTATTATCCGGCGGTGATATCTATATGGCTAGTTATATAATTAAATCCCCAAAACGAAGTGGGGAAACTTGCTGTTTTTGCTCCGTTTCTTCTTCTTATTCTTATCATTATTATTTCTTCCACATTCTTCCGCCAGGGAGGTTTCCGCCATTTTTCCTCAAAAACTACCGAAAGGAATTGAACAATATTTGAACCAAAATCATCAATATCATGAAAAAACAAAATAAATAAATTTCAAAATAAAAACTGAGACTATAATACAAATATATCTATAGAGTTCTAATCTTTGGATAGACAGAAGAACGCTGTAACGTCTTTGTTCCGACCTCAGGCGGGGAGTTCCGACCAATAGGTCTGTTCGCCTACCCAGCAGCGATCCCAAGTCTATTCTAAAAATAAACGAATTCTCCCTTTTTTGTCCTCAAGTATACCTCTGCTTCCATGAACTGTTTAAAGACTCATGCATTTAAGTCCTCTTATCCCATCGGCGTGACACAAGTTAAGTTGACGCGGTAGTTCCGTTTACGGACGAGTCTGCCACCCCACAGCAATCTTATGTCTAAATAGAGTAAAATACTATATATACGTGTATACATGATCAAATACACAAACAAGTAAACACAACAACCACTAAAATATCCTCACACAAACCAACCAACCAATCAACCAATCCCCCCTCCCACAAACCATCCCCAACACCACTCCGGTCCAGACTACCAGCATTTAATATAACCCATAAATCCTTCTACACATCTCTTGACACCCAGCACATCTTTCAACCTCCATCCCCTCCAGCCCCCATCCAGGTTATAACCCAACTATAACACTAATCAACCCCCCCCCCTCCTCCACACACCCTACCCGTTTTTCCTCTTTACCCATACTAATGTTCACACTATTCACTAAAAATCATAAATGTCGGAACGATGAACAGAAATAAGTGAAAAGACAAGTCGAGGTTTATAAGAAAGATGAAATTGGTACAAGTATAGTCATGTTTATTCTCAGTGACGAATGATGAGGAGAGGAGTACATGGAACGGACAACAAAAAAAAACAGCACATGCCTGACACTAACCACTAATATACAGTCCTTCGGATGGGACTATAAATGGTGACCCGTGTGAGAACTGTCCAATCACGCACGCAAAAAATCCCTCTGGGTTTTTCGAAAAAGAGCAGGCGCTTAAACGCCGACACAGAGGATAGTGAAAATTGTATCCAAAATTTTAGGCCGTTAGAACTAGGGTCTCTAGATCTTTATTAAGACATTTAGATGGACTTCCAAATTTTATACACAAGCCAAATTCATAGAATAGGCAGGGGCTGGTGTGGCTGGAGGCGGCACAGTTCCTCACTTCCGGTCCTGGTTGGTGATGCTGTACGATGAGTGTTAGGTTAAGGCATTATTAGGCATAGGAGCCGTCTTACAAAAACTAGACTTATACAGTTACAATATATATAGGATAGACGGCCCCTTCTCCAAACTTTCCCCCTCTTCTACTCTTTTACTCCATACTTTATCCTTTCTACTCATTTTCCTTTCTGTTCTTCGTCTGCTGGATAACCGAAATACGCGGTAGTGAAGCGGACGTAAAACATATCAATCAATCAATCAATCAAAGTTTCTGATTCTTAAAACAAAATGGCCGCCAAGGGGAGGCAACAAATAGGTCAAAATTTAAATGTTGTCCGATTTTCATGAAAATTGGTATATAGGTACTATGACACCACAAATACAACTGTTACGTCCATTTCAACAAAATGGCCGCCATTTCCTGGCCTCTGATTGGTCCAAATTTAAATATCGTCCGATTTTCATGAAATTTAGTATATAGGTACTTTATTACACCACGAATACAACCGTAACGTCCATGTTCCGGTTTCAGCACTCATTTCGTAGTAAAGGGGTCCTTTGAGGGACTTCTGTAATGGTCCCCATAATAATTAGTACTTGTTTATTTTGGAAATACGTGCTTCGAATTCATTCATCACAACTTAATTAAAGTTTAAAACTAGTAGATTACACAATTTACCGTGTATGGTAAAAATCTATCCCTAAACCGCCGATATGTAGCAGTTTAAAGCATGATCTTAGACTCTTTTACCATGCACTTGAACATTGAAATGATAAATACACCATCTTCATCTTATGAAAATAATTTGTATATAGATAAAGATATACAGAATAAGATGAGGGTTCCGTACTCGTGTGCTGAAGGAGATCGGAGAGGGTTTGGATACCTACAAAACAACAGAACATACGTAAACATTAAATAAATACTACCTTTCCTGTACGACACACCAGTGTGATAATATCAATTACTAGAAATAAATAAGCAATCAAATGAAGTTATTATAGGGGACTAGTTAGTGTTAGTTTTTACTTGAATCGCAGATTTTCTTTTCAGATGGAAGTTAAGCAAAGCAATGGAACATTTACGATGTTTTCTGGACGATGGATTACTATGAAAAGAAAAAACCAAGCAAGGACAAAGTTCTGTGACGTACGTGTTATAAAGTGGACGAGTATAGATTATGTCCTAAACATCGAAGGTGTACTCCGGTCTCCGCAATAACTTGTCCCGGCGCGTACACCCTCCCGTCAAACAGACAACCACCTGGTAACACGTCAACATTCTAATGGTCAACATATATATAGACGGTAAAAGTCACTCTACGTCTAACACGTCAACATAGATAGTAAAAAGTCAACTTTCTTATAGTCAACAAAGAGAGTAAAAGCTACCTGCTGGTAACACGTCAAAAGACACTTCCCATCTAACACGTCAGTATTCTAATGGTTTAACATAATTAGTAAAAGCCACTTGGAAACATGTAGTAGTTAAACACGTTATACGATGCCTTATACATAGCGTTTAACGATGTTTAAATAATTTCAGTTAGAATATGCTTATTTATCTCGTTTTTGACACGGATGACTTTTAAAAAGGGAAGTCATACATGTACCAGTATTTAACATTCATAACTTTCCATTGTTTAAGTTTTATAATGTTTTAAACATTTTCAATTATTAATGATAAAGTAAAACGTAAGTATCTTAGCATTGAAATGACTTTTGACTAGTGCACTTACTTTGTCCATCAACCGTTCGCTTTTGTTGTCCTAGGCTGCTACAATCTCCACTGCACAATTACAAAATTATGTAAACATAAAGGTATATAGGTATTTTCCATTCTATTTGTTCTCTTATGTACATGTATATCAGACAATACAATTATGTAAGATATACAAGCATATCTATGCGAATTGTTTGCCGTTGTTAACAAGAAGACCTAATTAAGATGCTCAGCGGTAACTTGGGAAGGTCAGTATTTCAGACAGAGTTTCGTCACACTTAATTAAATCACACTATTCTATTACACTAAACCCACATCTTGTTATAATCAAATCGGTACCCTAATTATAACCGCGCAATTATGCGGATAGCAGCCAAACCTTTATACTAACCGCGTAAGTATGGATTACAACCAAACCTTTTTCCTAACCGCGTTAGAATTAATTACAATCCAACCTTTATCCTAACCGTGTAAGAATTGGTTATAACCAACTCTGCACCCTAACTGCGTTATTTTGCGGATTACAACCAAACCTTTATCCTAACCGTGTTAGCATGGATTACAATCCAACCTTTATCCTAACCGCGTTAACATTGATTATAACCAAATCTGTACCTTAACGCGTTATTATGCGGATTACAACCAAACTTTTATCCCAACTGCGTTAGTATGGATTACAACCAAACCTTTATTATAACCGCGTTAGTATGAATAACAACGCAACATGTACCCTAACTGCGTTAGTATGGATAACGATCAAACCTGTACTATAACCGCATTATTATGGGGATTACAACCAACACCTTTATCCTTACCACTTTAGTATCAATCGACAAATCCTTGTATAGTTTCTACATTAGTACGGATTACATGCAAAACACTTCATAACTAACCTTGTAAGTACCAATCACATGAAAACCTTCCAAGATTCTACCCTGTTAGTATATCGATGTAAACTAACCTTGTTGAAACGACACTGTTTGTACAATTCACTAGCAAAACCTATCACAATCTGGGGTACCGTTTGTACAATTCACTAGCAAAACCTATCACAATCTGGACTACCGTTTCCGGATAATTGCTTACAAAAGTTGAACTTCGTTGCCAATGTTGTTGTTGCCGAGGCATGTGAGTTTTGCCTCGCATTTCTGGATAATAATGTCCTGGCCAGGTCCATAAACACGTCCATCGAACAGACAACCGCCTGTAATTTAACAGTACACATACATTACACGTCTAACATATTAGGATATTCACCACCTTACGACAGAGACTTATATATTATAAGTTTTACTTACGATGATCCAGAATAAAAAGAAATACATGTAACCCATTTTTGGATTTAGTTACTTAATCAGTGACAACCGTAGTCTGCACATTAGGTCATCGAATCGAATACAGATTGGTAACCAACAAATGATACTAGTAGTAATTAAGCTCAAATAAAGGAAAATAACTCAGAAACTAAATTTAGTGACGCTAACTTTTCCCGGCAAGCTCTGCTTTATACGACAATTTCTTCTTTTAAAAAGCATTTCCTTTCCAAATGATTAAACAGTTATTATGAAAGGTTTATAATATTTGAAATATACTGAATGATATTTTATTTCATATTGTCCGTTCTCGATAAAATATCATATAACAAACTGTATAGTGCAGTCTCACTCAAATATTATGTCACAAAAGTTATAGTTCGGTCTCATCGAAACATCCTATCATAAACTTAATAGAACGCCTCACTCAAATTATATGCAACAAACTTCAAGATGTGGTCTCACTGAAATATCATGTCACAGACTTTATAATGTGG